AAAGGTGCCTTGGGGTGGGACATGATTGAGATGTATAAAATTATGCAGGGGGTGTATAAAGTGGATAAAGGGAAGCTCTTTTCCCTTTCACATAATACCAGAACCAGGGGACACCCACTCCAATTGAGTGAGAACAGACAAAAGAAAATATTTCTTTACCCAGTGTGTTGTTATTTTGTGGAACTCCTTGCCACAGGATGTGGTGATGGCATCTGGCCTAGATGCCTATAAAGGGGGATTTGAGAGATCCTTGGAGGAAAAGTCCATCACAGGTAACATGCCATGATGGGGATCTGTAATCTCCAGGCTTCAAAGAAAGGTACCTCCAAATGCCAGATGCAGATGAGTGGTGTCAGGAGATATGTATCTAGTTGTCTCGTGTGCTCCCAGAGGCATCTGGTGGGGCCACTGTGAGATACAGGAAGCTGGACTAGATGGGCCCTTGGCCTGATCCAGCAGGGCTCTTCTTACGTTCTTATCTTATGTTCTCCCTATTGACACTACATCTGACATAACGGTTAAATGAAGACTCTGCTTTCTCATCTCCAGTGAGAAGGCATCTACAGTATTTGCTAAATATAGTTTCTAAAAACAGATCATTCATTCATTCATTCATTCATTCATTCATTCATTCATTCATTCATTCATTCATTCATTCATTCATTTATTTACTTACTTACTTACTTACTTAACTTATATGCTGCCCAATCTATCCAAAGGTCTCTGAGTGGCTTACAACAATTAAAATATAATAAAAATACAATAAAAAGTTAAAAAGATAACATTTAAAATACAGTTAAAATAGATACTCTAAAAATTGCCATCAGGCTGCACAGTTGATATTATTTCAATTAAAAGCCTTCTGGAACAGGAAGGTTTTGACCTGGTGCTGAAATGTCATCAGTGTCAGCGCCAGACGAATCTCAGTCAGGAGGTTATTCCATAGTCTAGGGGCAGATGCCAAAAAGGCCCTTTTTCCTCAAGCCACCCCTCTTACCTCCTTTAGGGATGGCTCTTTCAAAAGGGCCCCCTGGCTAGATCCTAATTGCCTGGTAGGTTCATATGGAAGGAAGCGGTACTTCAGGTATCCAGGGCCCAAGCCATTTAGGGCTTTATATGTCAAAATAAGCACTTTGAATTGGGCCTGGGCAGCACCTGGTAGCCGTATTTTTCGCTCCATAAGACGCACCTTTCCATAAGACGCACCAATTTTTTAGGAGAAGAAAACAGGAAAATATAATCTGTTTTCTTCGCTCCATAAGACGCACAGACTTTCCACACCCCTGTTTTGTGGGAAAAAAGTGAGTCTTATGGTGCAAAAAATACAGTAATTTAATCAGATTCAGCTTGATATGTCCCCTAGCGGCCCCACCACTCACCAGCTGCGCAGCTCAATTCTGGACCAGTTGCAGTCGCCGGACCGTCTTCAAAGGCAGCCCTGCATAGAGCGCATTGCAGTAATCTATGCGAGATGTTACTAGTGTGTGTGTAACTGTCATGAGACTCCGCTCGTCCAGCTAGGGCCATAGCTGGTACATTTTCCGCAGCTGGAGGAAGGCGCCCCTGGCCACCAAGTCCACCTGGGCTTCCAGAGTTAGACTGGGGTCCAGGAGCACCCCCAGACTGCGGACCCTGTCCCTTAGGGGGAGTGTAACCCCATTCAGAGCAGGGAAATGTCCCTCCAGCCTGTCCGGTGAGGCACCCACTAGCAGCACTTCCATCTTGTCTGGATTGAATTTCAGTTTATTAACCCTCATCCAGTCCAGAAAACGGGAGGTAGAGTTGAGTGTAGTCAGCATATTGCTGACTCCTTAGCCCAAATCTCCTGATGACCTCTTCCAGCGGTTTCATGTAGATGTTAAACAGCATGGGGGACAGTATTGAGCCCTGAGGAACCCCATGACATAAACACCATGGGACAGAGCAACTGTCCCCCAGCACCACCCTCTGGACACGGTCAGCCAGGAAGGAGCGGAACCACCGTAAAGCAGTGCCCCCAACTCCCAACCCAGCCAGCCTATCCAGAAGGACAGCATGGTTGATGGTGTCAGAAGCCACTGAGAGGTCCAGGAGTGTGAGGGTCACACTCCACCTGTCTCTCTCACGGCAAAGGTTGTACAGGACAACCAAGGCAGTCTCCATACCAAAACCCGGCCTGAAACCCGATTGAAATGGATCCAGAAAATCTGTTTCATCCAGCAGCGCCTGGAGTTGCCCAGCCACAACCCTCTCCAACACTTTGCCCAAATAAGGGAGGCTCGCCACTGGTCGGTAGTTAGCCACCAGCCTTGGGTCCAGGTTAGGCTTTTTAAGGAGTGGCCAAATTACCGCCTCTTTCAAGGTGGTAGGGACCACTCCCTCTCTCATAGAGGCGTTCACGGCCTCCTGGACCCAGGTGCGACCCCCCCGGCAGATCTTCCAATTAGCCAAGATGGGCAAGGGTCGAGCGGAGTGGTTGTAGAATGGACAGATCCAAGCACCCTGTTCATATCCTCAGGTCTCAAGAACTGATACTCATCCATTAATATTTGACCTAAGTACGGCACACTGGACACATCCTCTGATTTTGCAGTAACGGTGGAGTCCAACCCACTGCGAGTCTGAGCGATTTCCCCCTCAAAATGAATGGCAAACTCATCACAGCGAGCTGATGAGCAGTCCAGGACCTCCACTGGATTTCCCGGTTGAAGAAGATCCTGGACCACCAGAAATAGCTCGGCTGGATGACATTATGAGGCAGCAATACAGCTGGAGAAATATTGCCATTTCGCCAGCCATATTGCCACGAAGTAGGCCCTATAATGGGCTCTAAGTCATGTTCGATCGGACTCCCAGTGGGATTTCCTCCACCTGTGCTCCAGCCGTCTCCCCTCTTGCTTCATCCCCAGCAGTTCGGAAGTATACCAAGGAGCTGTCTGAGCTCTGCGTGCAGAGAGAGGGCACTTAGGTGTAATCGTGTCAGCCACCCGGGTCATCTCCCTATTCCATAGGGCAGTGGTCTCCAACCTTGGGCCTCCAGATGTTATTGGACTACAACTCCCAGAAGCCTTCACCACCACCTCTGCTGGCCAGGATTTCTGGGAGTTGAAGTCCAAGAACATCTGGAGGCCCAAGGTTGGGGACCACTGCCATAGGGTGACCTGAGCTTCGACAGGAGCGCCGACTATATCAGATGGATAATCCCCTAGAGCATTCAGGAAACCATCTGGATCCATTAGTCACCGAGGGCGGATCATCTTAATACTGTAGATCCCCCACCCTTGCAGAGGGAGGAAGAAGCTAATAGACTAAACTTGACCAGGAAGTGATCTGACCATGACAACAGGGTCACAACCAGCCCCTCCACATCCAAACCACCATCTTCTAGTCCTGTTGAGAAAACCAGGTCCAAGGTATGGCCCTTCTTGTGTGTCGGGCCGATGACATATTGAGACAGCCCCATGGTTGTCATGATGGCCATGAGGTCCTGAGCCACCCCAGTCAAGACAGCCTTGGCATGGATGTTGAGGTCCCCCAGCACCAACAGCCTGGGAGTCCTCAACACCAGCTCCAAGACTATCTCTGTCAACTCAGGCAGGGAGACTGTTGGTACGCAGCAGGGTACACCAACAGAATCCCCAGTCTGTCTCGTAAGCCTAACACGCAATATAGGCCCTCAAGACCGCCTCTCAAAGGGATAGGAAGCCTTGTCAAGGAGATGGAACTCCTATAGATTATAGCAACTCCCCCTCCCCAACCCTATGAGCGACATTGGCGCTGGACCGAGTGCCCAGGTGGATACAGCTGGGAGAGGGGAACACCACCCTCCTCTCCCACCCAGGTCTCAGTAACGCACGCCAGGTCAGCACCCTCATCCAGAATTACATCATGGATGAGGGCATTCATCAACAGCACCGTGTGGCTCGAGGGTTTGCTGACATGGACACCTGATACCATCTGATTGGGGGTAGGACTAGAAGAGGGGATAGATGTAAGATATCTAACCTCTCTTCTCCTATGTGGGCATGTTCTACCCCCACCACCATTCCTTCCCCTATCCAACACCACCTCAATGGCTGCCCCCTCAAATGCCCTCCCCCCTTCCTGTTCCCTCAGATCCACTGTGGGTCTCTTTGTAACCTGATGACAATTAATAATAACAATTTAAAAAAACACACCCTTCTAAAGTCCCTTCTCCTCTCCAGGTGGCTGATGTTGAATATGATTGTATCCTCAGTAAGTTTCTATCAATATTATGTAGGAATAGGATGTCTTATTGCTTGAAATAGATTGAGTCTGTTATGGTATAGAGAGCTAAGGAAGAAATAGCATTTAAAATGGGTTTCCTTCATCTGTGACGATTGTAATAGACTTAGATCTTTCCCTCAACAGCTCAGTGGTTTAAGTATCTGGTTGCAGAACCAGAGGTTGGGAGTTCAGTTCTCCACTTTGCCTCTGTAAGTAGAGCCAGTCTGTGTGGCTTTGGGCAGGCTTCACAGTTCCAGTGTGCCCCCAGAAGAAGGGAAAGATAAACCACATCTGAATAATACAGTATCTACCTGAAACCCCTGGAAATCTGAGAACATGAAAAGACAGCCTGAATTAGTGTAGTCATACTTAACGTGGTAAAATACCTTGACGTCATACTTGGTGGCAGTACAGAGCCTGTAAGTACATTCTAATTATAATCAGCCCCAAGGTTTTTTATATATTCAAATCTTCTGTAGTTGCTTTTCCTATAGTAATTGCTCAATCGTTGAAAATTGCCTCTTGTTTTCTAGAACACTTCAGCTGGGAAATTTGAATGTAGATTTAAAAAAATCAATATTTTCTATTAGATTAGATTAAAAACCCTGTATTTTTTTTTTGCAATTAGATGTTTTAATCTGATTGGCTTAAATCAAACAAAACAATTTTAACAGGTGTGCCTTATAGTGTATTCTTGAACTCTGCAAGTTGAATAAATGGCACTGTGTTTCTCTCTTCTCTCTCTGTCCCTTTCCTTTCTGTGTCCTACACAGGAAAGGCAGAGTCTGATTTCTGCCTTGATGTTACTATAAAAACACTACCAAGAAGTCCTGAACATTCAAAAAGTAAAGTAAGAGCAGAGAATAATCTGAAAAAAAGAGATTCTGTTCTTCAGGATACTAAACTGGGAGAAGACCATGTTAATAAAGATTTTTTGCCAGTAGAGATCCGTGGAATTCTTGATGACCTACAGTTGGACTCTGTGGGTAGGGAACAGGAGAGAAATGAAGGAAGTCAGAATCAGAAATCGGCACGTTCTGCATTTTCCAGGAGCCACAGTCCAACCAAAAGAAAGCCAGACAAGCTTTCTGCCAATGATGATCCTCAGATCACATCTAAGAAACGTCATTATGATACAGATGAAGTTCGCCAGTACATTGTTAGACAGCAAGAGGAAAGGAAGAAGAGACAAAACGAAGAGAAGAAAGCACAGAAGGAGGCAACGGAACAAAAGAATAAGAGGCTTCAAGAACTTTACAAGAAGCAGAGGGAGGCTCTTGCTAATAAAACAAAGAGCACAATGGCACCTGAATTAGCCAAAAAGCAGTTACAAGAAACATATACGAAACTGTTACTTGAACAAACCTTGCTAGAAGTGCCGGCGCCCTCTGCACAGGAGGTATAGCTATTTTGAAAGTGGGGGGCTGCTTTGTTGCTGATTTCCATATTAATGTTTTTTCTTGTAACAAATCACCTGAATAAAATAGTAAGTATTTGCAGTGTGACAGTAGCTGGTACATATTGTATAGTTATGCAACTTGTTTTAGGTATATAGCTATATATTGTTAAAAAAGAGAGAGATTTTATCCCTCATTAGACATTCAAAAGAACGCAAAGGCCTAAATGCTATGACCAAGGGAACTGGTACCAGCTGTTTTGTAGCATCCCTACATGTATTAGTTCCTCCCTTTGCTATATTGAGTTGGTATGTCAGAAGATACATTGTAGCATCTTTGGTTGAGCAAACTTAAAAGTCTTTCTGCAGCCTTGGGAACAGAGTGGGTTTTTTGCCTGATATGTTGGCAATATAACCCTGTAAAAACTTTTTAGAGAATTAAATCAGCCTTTTGTAACTTGGAACTAACTAAGTAGTTCACTGAGTTAAGTATCAGGCTGTGGAACTGACAGTTGGGGGTTTAAATCCCCATTGTCCTTCCCAGGAGAAGAGCCAGCCTGTGTAGCCTTTGGCAAGCTGAACAGTCACAGGGCATCCCCAGAAAAAGGGAATGTGAAACCACTTCTGAGTATTGAGTAACTGGGAAACCTTGGAAAAGGAATTGACATCATGGTACATTATTATTATTATTATTATTATTATTATTATTATTATTATTATTATTATTATTATTATTATTATTATTGAGCATTTGTTTCTGTTGTTTTCAACATTGTTGTTGTTATATATGCATGTGTATATTTGTTCATATTGTGTGTGTGCGTGTATGTGCATATACATATACAGTACAAAGACCTGAAACTGCTTATATTACTATGTGAAGTTTCTAGATATAGTTCCCAAAGCCCCAATGACTACGAGAACCATTGAAGTGAGTTTATTCCACAGGCAAGATGTTTCAATTGCTAGGTCTTTGTACTTTGTTATTCTTTATTTTCAACTCTGGCAACGTCAATGATCCAGACCTTTATGCATTCTATTACTACTATGTTTGGTGTGTTATCTTCAAGGTGTCTATCCATTTGGATCTGGATATCTCTCAAGATCTTGACTTCCTCATTTTCTGACACCTTCTCTACCTGAAGTTCCCATGGGTTTTTGGAGTTTGGCAGATTATATTTTTGCATAATAACCAGTGCACTAACTTTTATCATAGAATCATAGAAAAGTGAAATTGGAAGGGGCCTACAAGGCCATCAGGTCCAACACCTTGCTCAATGCAGAAATACAACCAAAGCATATCTGCCAGGTGATTAAGTTTTTCTTGACTGCCTCCAGTGTTGGAGCACTCACCAACTCCTGAGGTAACTGGTTCCACTGTTGTACTGCTCTAACATTTAGGAAGTTTTTCCTGATATTCAACCAAAACCTGGCTTCCTTTAACTTGAGCCCATTGTTACGTTTCCTGCAGTCTCGGATGATCGAGAACAGTTCTTGCCCCTCCTCTGTATGACAGCCTTTCAAATATTTGAAAAGTGTAGCCACATCACTCTGTTGGCTCATATTTAGCTTGTGATCTACAACAATTCCAAGATCCTTCTTGCTCTTAGTTTTGCTGCGCCAGGTATCTCCCATCTTGTAACTCTGCAATTGGTTTCTTTTTCTGAGGTGCAGTACTTTGCATTTATCCCTGCTGAATTTCATTCTGTTGCTTTCAGTCCAGTGCTCCATCCTATCAAGGTCATCTTGAATTTTGTTTCTGCCTTCTAGGGTATTAGCTATTCCACCCAATATGGTATCATCTTCAAATTTGACAAGCATTCCTTGCACTCCCTCATCCAATTCATTAATAAAAATATTGAAGAGCACCTGGCCCAGGACTGAGGCTTGTGGTATGGTACCCCAATTGTTATCTCCTCCCAGGTAGAGAAGGACCCATTAATCATCACCCTCTGAGTATGATTCTGTAGCCAATTGTGTATCCATTTGACACTTGATCTATCCAGCCCACATCTAGTTAGCTTGCTAATCAGGATCTCATGGGGCACTTTGTCAAAAGCTTTGCAAAAGTCAAGATATACTACATCTACAGCATTCTCCCTGTCTATCAGGGAGGTGACCTGATCAAAAAAGATCTAATTAGTTTGGCAGGATTTGTTCTTGACAAATCCATGTTGGCTTCTTGTTATTGCTGTATTGTTTTCTAGGTGCTTCCACAATGACTGTTTTGCGATCTGTTCCAGAATTTTGCCTGAAATTGATGTCAGGCTGACTGGCCTGCAGTTCCCAGGTTTCTCTTTTTTGCCCTTTTTGAAGATAGGAACAACATTGGCGCTCCTCTGATCCTCTGTCATCTGCCATGTTTCCCATAATTTCGAGAAAGTAATGGATAGCGGTTCTGAGAGTTCTTCAGCCAGTTCCTTCAATACTCTCGGATGCAGTTCATCCGGTCCTGGAGATTTGAACTTATTCAAGGTGGTAAGGTATTCCTTGACTATTTGTTTTATCTATTTCCAGCTGCAATCCTGGGGCCCTCCACTTGCACTTCCAATTTGTTTGGAAGTTCATCATCTGTCTCATGGGAAAAGACTGAACTAAAATAGGAATTTAGCACCTCTGCCTTTTCTTTGTCCTTTGTTATCATTTTTCCATCTCTATTGTTGTATGTCCTGCACCATGGGATGATTGAGAACAGATCTTGCTCTAGTTTCTTTCTCCACTTTTTGTAGGAGAAAATTATCAGCCCCACAAGCCAGGAATTTCCTGGAAGGCGCATACTTCGTAGAATTTGCTTCCAAACATATATCTAGATAATTGAAATCTCCCATCACTACTATGCCATGTCTCTTTGAAAACCCTGCAATTTGTTTTTCAAAAGTTTCATCCACTTCCTCTCTTTGATTGGGCTGTCATTAGTAGACTCCAAGTTCCTAGTTCCTTTCATTTTTTGCCTCAACTAGATTTATCCAGATTCTGTAAGTGGGACAGCCACTCCCCTCCTCCTATATTTCTGTGCAAGAATGTGTATTTTTGGCATATACTGCAACTCCACCTCCCTTTTTATTCTCTCTGTTCTTTTCGATCAGTATATATCCCTCAATTGCTGTATTCCAGTCATAGGAGTCATCCCACCATGCTATTATTGTTGCCTATTTGATCAGTTTTGATCCATTCCTCTTATTGTGTGTAAGGCTTCATCTACCCTTAACTCTGTCCTTGCATCTCCCTCCCTCTTCCAATTTAGTTTAAAGCCCTCCTGATAAAATTCTTCATGCTGTGGCCAAACACATTTTTCCCAGTCCTTGTTTGATGCAAGCTGTCTCTTGCTAGCAGTCCTTCTTCCAGGAAGCTTAGCCCGTGGTCCCAAAAACAAATCCCTCGTGTCAACACCACCTTCGTAGCTGTAGCGGGCACGCTGAAGCCTCTAATATCTCAGGCCTCCAGGAGGTGCTCACTCTTCTGCTCAGTTGCTGCCACCAATACTTCAGTTCAGTATCAATTATATAAGGAGACAAGTGTTGCTTTGAAACTAAAACCATGTTTATTTGATTAACAAAATAATATGGGTAAATCACAGGTTGATAATCAATATTTCTCACTCACTGAACTCACTGACACACAGAACTCTACTCTCACTGACTTATTGGCTCACAGGCCCACAGACTCACTCACAATTCTCAAATCACTCAAAAATCTCGCAAATCTCATCACTCATCCCCCTCATACATCATACCTCCTTATTTATATCCCAGCTCCTCCCCCTTTAGCACCACCTTCTGTCCCCTCATTGGCTGCTGTTCCACTGCTCAGCTGTGACAGACAGGTGAGGGCAGGGCTGAACGGTACAGTAGCCAGTCATTCACCCAGAGGATCTTCCTTTCTCTTTCAGTTCCTCTTCTGAGCACCAGTAGGATGGAAGAAAAAACTATCTGGTCACCAAAGTCCTTGAGTCTCCTTCCCAGAGCCTCAAAGTCAGACATGATTTCTCGGTAGCTCCTCATGGCTGTGTTGTTTGTTCCCATGTGGACAAGAAGAAAGGAATATATAACTGTAGGTTTTATGAGTGATGGCAATCCTTCCATCGCATCCCTTATCTGTCTTCCAAGGAGACAGCGTACCTGGCAAGTCCATGGATCCTTCCGGCATATTTTGGTCTCAATTCCATATAGTAGGGTGTCTCCTACTACAACTGCTCTCGTTGTCGTCTTTTTGTAGGGTTTGGGTTCATCGACTGTATTCTGCTGCACTTCAGCCCTACTCATGTCCTGTGGAGTCTCCTCTGTGTGCTGTCTGACAGACTCTTCCTCAAGTAACTGAAAGTGGGTTTGTAGTTCCACTGAGAAAGAGTGTCTTCTCCTTATTTTGCTTCTAACTGTGGTTCTTTTTCATGGTAGTTCCTCCACTATGTTTGTAGCCTCTACAGGATTTCAGAGTTGCAAACACTGCAATGTTTTGGTTTTCTTCCATCAGCAATGTCCTCTCCCAAAGTTGACATTTGCTATTAGCACTAATTTCTTGGACCATAGCTTTTATCTGTTGGTTTGGAGTGCTTGTTCTTGTGCAGCAAAAATAAAGCCTTCAGTTTCTTTCTAAAGGGTCCTGAATTTTAGCCATGCCCATGTTGAATTATGATTTTGCTTTCCATCAATATTTCTCAAGTGTTGTCTATGTAGTGGTTTCTTTTTCCAGCTGTTTAGTTTATTTTCCAATTGTTGTTTCTCATATTGAGCCTTTGTTTCTGTTGTGTTCAAAATATTCTCCATTTTCATTGTTTTCAGTAATTTTCTCTGCTTATACTGATATAATCATTTAGGCTTCTTTTTTCTTCCTCTACTACCTGCTGTATTTGCAGCAATCAAAGACCTCTGTTTTTTGTGGTAAATATAATCACATTTTGGATATAATGTGTGATGCATGTTCATTAGTTTCCGTGTTTTTTGATTGAATTTTTCTAATTTGTTTTGAGTCCAATCTATTATTCCATGCGGGCATCTAATTACTGGAATGGCCCATGTGTTTATGGGTTTGATCATATTTCCTCCATTTAATTTCAATTGTAAGATTTTCCGCAGTCTTTTGGTATATTCTTTTCCTGTCACTTCTTTAACTTTTGTGTGCACGATGTTGTCTGCTTCTAGTATTCCAAGGTATTTATAATTTCCATCACTTGAGAATGATTTTATAATATTGCCATTCATAACTCTATTCCATCTAGTTTTTGGATCTTGTTGCAGTGTATAGACAGAGCTGCACATTCGTCAATTCCAAATTTCATTTGGATATCTTCACTAAATGTTTGCACTGTGTTTAGCAGTGATTCTATCTCTGTGGAACTTTTTGCATATAGTTTTAGGTTATCCATGTATAAGAGAAGATTGATTTTTCCAGCTTATTGTGGAATACAGTAGCCCAATCCAGTTTTATTTACAATTATTGACATGGGGATTAGTGAGATGTTAAACAGCAGTGATTACAAAGAATCCTCCTGAAATAGTCCTCTTTTGATGTTAACTTCCCAATTTCGTCACCATGGGCCATTAAGATGGTTTCCCATTTTTCCATGTTTTTCTTGAGGAACTTCTAGATGTTTTTACTGATCCCAAACTGTTTTAGGCAGGTGTTAATCCAGCTATGTGGCAATGACTCACATGCCTTTTTATAGTCTATCCAGGCCATGTTATGGTTTGTTTTTCATCTTTTTGCATTCTTCAGGATCATTTTATCAACAAGCAGCTGATCTTTTATGCCTCTTGACTTTTTAAAGTTCCTTTTCTGTTCAGTTGGGTATAGGGAATTTTTAGTTAATTATTTAGATATTGATCTTGGAAGTACTCCTGCAAGGAGCCTGAACATTGTTGGATGGCATGTAATAGGTTGATAATTACTGGGTTCATTGCCCTTTTGATGATATTTTATTATCAGAAATGTGTGGCCTGTTGTCATCCAGTCTTCAGTTGTAGAATTTTGAAGTAAGTGGTTAAATTGCACTGCTATATGTTGATGGAGACTTGTTAGATGCTTTAACCAAAATCCGTGCAGCTCATCTGGACCAGATGCACTCCAATTTTTCACAGCCTTTACTTGCTTCTTAATCATTTCAGTTATTATTGCAATATCATACATTTGTTTTCGTTGTGTTTCTTTACAAATGCCTTCAATCCTCGAGCTGTTTTTGTTATGTCTGATTGGGCTTTCCCACATTTCTTTTCAAAATTTTAGAGCATCATGGGCCTAATTTCTTTTGCTCTGCATTTTCTCCTAGTGACATATAGAATAATCATTGGTTATTTCGAAATTACGTGTTTTCTCTATATTGTTTCAAGCGTCCATCATATCTTTCAGTTTTCTTTGCTGCAGCTGTTACATGCTGTTTTAATTATTCCATAGTTTAAATGATTGTTTTCCTTTCTAGATCATATATTTTGCATAGTCTTGCTTTTACTTTTTCATTTTAAAATTTTGAATCTTTCAAGTGTTTTAAAATTTGCTAATATCTGCATGTAATTTCTTTAGTTTTCTTTCCAGCCAAATTTTCCATTATGGGGTGCCATGGGTTTTCTGGGGGTTTTGCAGCTTGTAGCCAAGTTCCATGGTTATTATGGTAGTTGTGCTATACATGAGCTGGTTTGTTCCCTTTAGCATGTTGGTTGGGATGGTTCTGATGACAACATTTGCATCATTCAGTAGATCTTTTATTGGTTTACTTTGTAATTGGTGCAAATTGGGGAGCCTTTGTCTTTCTGTGTTCTGGCTAGTATGGGTTACTATTTTCCCCCTCAGTGATGTTTGCCATTCTGTCAACTCATAATTTTTGGGTTGTTCGATAAGTTGTTCCCCTGTTGATGTGTTTTCTTCCACTCTTGTGTCTATCTCTACCTTCCATTTGTATTCCATATTATGGTCGTTGTTCTTTGTTGATTTTGCTATCTTTTCTAGTTTTTGTAGTTCCAGTTCTGAAAACACTTTATTCCAGATGATAAATCTTCTCTGGTCCATCAAATGTTCTTCAGTTCTGTCACTACTTGGGTGTTTCTTTTTCCAAATTTCAATAATTCTGTTTTGAAAACCACGGGTTGTTGGGTTTGCCTCATAATAACATTTCATAATTTCTCGATTTTCGGTGAAAGTCCAAGTTTTGCATTTACATTGTTCCAGTAGCTTTGCAGCAGTCTGTCCTGGTCACTCAACAGGATCTGCTGAGCCCAGTAGCCCATTTGTCACCAGATGCCCATGGGCTATAGCATCTGATGCAATCCTTATTGACCTGGGCGACGACCAATCTGGTATGGATTTCTGTTTATTTTCCCTCATCATAATTGATGGTTGGTGGACATAGTTGGTCTGGCTTCTCAGCTGAGACCTGTCTGGCTTGGGAGACCCTTCAGCATAGCTCTCAACCTCACAAGTATGGAAGCCCCTCTGCCTGAACAAGGTCTGTGCCCATGGAGGGGATGATGATGATGATGATGATGATTTGCTACGCTGAAGTTTCTTTATCTGAAGTCAGAAAGGTCCCCTTGAAGAATAGAATGTTACTGAAGCTGACTGTAGCTGTTGTCATGTAATGCTGCCATCAGTTGATGGAAGTGGTAGTTAGTGTTCCACTGGGACTGGGAAGACCTAGACTCAATGCTGAACTCAACCATGAAGTTCAGTGAATTCCAGTCTCTGTCTCTAAACTACTTGCCAGGTTGTTGTGAGGATGGAATGGGGAGGAAGAATGCTACGTCATCCTGAGCACCTTGAAGGATGGGCATAATGCAAACAGAGTGAAATAATAAAATAAAATAAAATGGCTATAGGAGTTTCAGAGTATAACTTCATTTGAAAGTGTTTGTTATTGAATTTGTTTAGTTGTCAATTGTTAAAAAGAATTGAAATCTTTTACTTCAAGCACAACTAGCACAAGCTAGGAAAGTCAAAAGGAAGGGACTTTCCATCTGTCCTTTAATCTCACCTCTTTCCTGAAAAAACCTTTTGGGCAGCCCAGTGAACCATTATTAATGGCTTGAAAAGGGATTTGCTTCAATATGGCAAAAGTACTACGTGTAGCCTCAGATTTGTTCATAGATTTGATTTGTAGCACTAATTCTTGCCCACCATCCAACATTGTCCAAGAATGTGCTCTGGCCTTTGAGGGAATGGAGTTGGATGGTATTGGAGAAATGAGATAGATACTCAAGAGTATTGCTCTGTTGTGTGGGATCCAAACCATTATATTAAATGTCAAAGTGTTTGCACTATGATCTACTAATGCTGGTTTTATGTTGTTCCTTATTAAGATAGCTTTTAGTATCTGCAAAATAGATGTCAGTTGCTCAAGTTAGTTGAAATTTTGCTGTACTTTAAAAAGTACTTTTTTAAACCCTATATTAATAAAGAAGTGGGAATGTGATTTTTTTTTCTCCAGTCGAAACCTGGGTATCAGCCATCTGGAGAATCTGACAAAGAGAACAAGGTGCAGGAGCGTCCACCCAGTGCATCTTCTAGTAGTGACATGTCTCTTTCTGAACCTCATCATCATCTTAGGTAAGAGCAGAAGCGCTTTTAAGGTCACAAAAATGGAAGTTACCTTTGGGTTCTTTGAAACTTATTGTAGAAAAGCAAGTTTCTTACAGGTGCTGCAACATTAGGAACCATGTACTAACATAACAGAGCGATCTGAAATCTCTTCTCACAGAATTGATCGAAATGTTTAAAATTTAGAATTCTGTATCTTGATGATTTTATGTAGTAAGAGTGATATGAAAAGCAGAGTGTCACTACATGAAATAAAGTTTGGGAAATTGTTTTGTTAGCATAATCAAGTCTTCAAGTGCAGGAGGAGACAAAAAGTGCAAAATTATGTTGAACAACAAAAAGCAGAATCCTAGGTTTTAATGTTCAACAGTATGCTTTTACAATTTGTGGGAGGTGCCTTAGTGAAACCTCAGAAATTCGACTAATTTCCAGGGAAGTAATTGTGTTAGTTTGTCTCACTTTGTTGACAGTAGGAGGGGGGAGAAAGGCAAATTCATCATCACTCTACAGAACCTTCCAGATCTTTAGCCTTTCCCTTTTCTTAGGCTGTAGCGTGCATGCTCCGTTTGCTTCCCCCATTCCTTTTTCATCTGCGACAGAAGCAAAACTCCTGTACCAATGGGAGTTTAAAAACTAAATCTTTGTAAATAGCCTCCCTAATGTTCAAACTTATTATTTAGTTTTATTTACAATTGACAGAGGTGCGGCGTTACCAGACTACGCCAGGGGGCGTTATGGTGAAATGAACTGCTCAGAGATGAAACCAAACAGACACTGTTGTAGTGTTGATAGAATTATTTACATTAAAGTTCATATATACAGGTACAAATACAACTTATCTTGTCTTTACACAGTCCTGGTCTTTCACAGTAGTTCTTCAGTTTGCAATAGTAAATTACAGGTTCAGTATCCAAAGATTGTTACCAATATAAATAGTCCAGCATCCACGAAGTCTTCTCCTCTCACCACGGAGATAGTCTTCTTCCAGGACCTTCCTCTTGCAATGTAGCAAGTCTTCATCCAGC